AGTTTGCAGAGAGGTGGGTGTTGGGCTCTTCTCCCAAGTGACAAGTGATGAGAGGAAACAGCCTAAAGCTGCACCAAGGGAGGTTTAGATTGGGTATTAGGAAAAATTTCTCCACCAAGATGGTTATCAGGCATTGGAACAGGCTGCCCAAGGAGGTGGTGGAGTCACCAAGCCTGGAGGTGTATGAGACCTGTGGATGTGGTGCTTAGGGACATGGTTTAGTGGTGGTATTAGAATTGTTAGGTTAATGGTTGGACTTGATGATCTTAAAAGGCCTTTTGCAACCTGAAAGATTCTATGATTCTACCATTCCACAAAATCCATGACACGAGTTTCTCAATATATGCCAGCAGATTTCCTTGCACCACTGAAAAGATTAAAATGCAGTCATGAAATATATTACGTAGTTGGCTACCAGAAGTCTGAGAATTGCTTAACATTCAGAATGAGTGGCTTTTGTTAAAATAAATTTCACTGGTGGGTGGCCTATACATTACTGTGGCAGGAGCAACCGCCCTTTCTGAGCAGTGCAAATGACAGCTAGAGTCTGTCAAGGAGGGATGGAGGACTGATTCCAAAAATTTTTCAAGATTTCTAACACTGAATTACCAACAGAAAAGAAAAAAAAGAAAAAAGGGAAAAATAGTTTTTATAAAGGATTCTGAGAGTGTCTCACACTGACAAACAGCTTTTTGAACAAAATAACTACTGACCTCAGATGGACAATTTTTTTTTCTCTTTTCATTATAGATTTCATAGTGATCTCTGTATATGTACATATGTGCATATGTATATAAATAATTAACCTTTTAAAGAACATCCCAACACAAACGAAAATGCAAGGTGATTTCTTTCTATTAGCTTTTAAACCAACACCAACAACAGAAATTAGATCTATTCATTTCAGTTCTACTTGCAGTAAAATTTCACTGGCTGTACACATCACATCTTAAAACTGCACAGGCAGTACTGAATTAACACCAGCTTTTACAGAGTCAGTCAGTCATAAGAGGTGCCAATCACTGCACATTCCACTTCAGATGAGAAGCTGAGGTACTCAGAGTGAAGTACAGACTGTACTGCTCATTTTTAACATTTTAAAAAAAGAAAACATGACAGCGCTAACAAAATAATGATGTAATAAAAACCCACCCCACATTCATTTCTGCAACCCCCTGTCCCATTCACAGAAGTGGAAACAAAAGTCCATGCTCACAGGATGCAAAGCTGTTGGCACAGCCTTCCAATTCTGCACACCAGATCAAAACCTACTCAGCTGATGCAGAGTCTTCTTCAGTATCTCTAGACACATAGCAAATAAGAAACTCCTTGCAACATTACTGAAATGTGTTTATATCTGTATAGCAGGTATCATTAAAATTTAATGCTATACACAGTTACCCTGATACCTCCCCCTCCCCTGCAATCATTCACAGTTTATAAGCCTATCTGTTCACAGGGCTTTGCAAGACAAGAGTAGTAAAGTACAAAAGAAATCAACACAGCTCTGCCATGTAAAAAAAACCCCGGCCCTCCTTGGCTCCATCTGACCTCAGCTAGGACTGAAACACGTTGTGTGGGAGTAGTTTAGAGCTGTATTCTCTACTGCTCCTCCAAAACATCGTCAAAGCATTCTCTCTGTCGCCTAAAAGCCACAGCCATCTTGTTTTGATGTTAGATCTGACCTGCAACACCTCAAGCTGTCTTGTCACTGCGGCATCACTGAACCCTTTTCAGGTTCACCTGTGGCTGAAGGTTGAGTCAGTATCAGCCCTGCTATAAAGAACACTGTGCACAGCTTACCAGCAAGAACACCAGAGGCTTGGGCTCAGTAAATCTCTCCATTTCCCAATTTTCCTCTGAGGCTGCACAGCTACAGACATAGTTTCAACCTAAAAATCTGTCTGAATATTCACAGTGATAAAACCAGGCAGAATTCTTATGCCTAACCATGCAACTCTAACTCAGTGAAAGGACCGTAAATCACCAGTGGCAATCTGGGACTTGCTGCCAACTTATCCAAGATCAAACTTGATCACTGAATTCATCAGCAACACTGTACATACTGAAGCTGACCAAACTACAGACCAGGCAAGATAAAGACAGAGGAAAAAACAAAAGATGAGATGCCTCGGTCTCTCACTTTTCGAACATCCAGTTTGAACATCAGCATTATGTAACGATGCTGGGAAATTGGTAATCAGAACCTTTTAATTACACATACCAGATATCTTTCCTCCTGCCTCATGCTGGGGGTACGGATCATGTGATTCTGTTCTCCTCTCCAGTCTCCAAAACGTCGAAAAAAATAATTGGATAAAAATCGATTGACAGGATCTCTAATAATATTGATGTACACCGGCTGGTCTCCTCCAAACCTGGTGGGAAGAAGACAGGTGAATCTCATCAGAAGGTTCCACACAGGCACATGTATCCATCTTCTATCTGAACATTTTCAAATTACTCTCTACAGAAGTTCAGAGCTCTTACAGTTAGGTATGAGACTGAGAAACTAGTTACCAAAACCTTGTAAAAGCATGTAAGATCTCTTTAGGATGAATGGTATGTATGGTATCACAAGAAGCTAGACATGTACTACAAACACCTTAGTTTAAGACCATTTTTTCCACTGTGTCAATAGTTTCACAGCTGAAGAACCTTCTGCAGCTGACTGAGAATGAGCACGTCTTCTCAACACCGGGTTTCCATCTGGGAAGTCATGCCAGAGCAGGCACCGCCCAACAACTGCCACAAGGCAGCCTTGGACCGCCTTCACCTGTACACTAAGTGTAGTAACGTGCAAAGGATTTTGCAACATTCAAGCTCATTTCAAAAGGCTTCCTTTGGATGAACTGACAGATATGCATGGCATTTCCAGCATAGTATCTGCTGGAACTTGTGCAGATCTTCCTCCCCTCACCCCCAGAGCCTGCACCATTGGCTGGAACTGAGGTTATTTCATGGTTATGCAATACCTTATCTTTGTACTACACTTCATGAACATTTTTCTTTTTTTTTTTTTTTTAAAGTCAATACAAAAACTTCTCCTTCAAAAAAGAAACTAAGTATCAATTTCAAGTACACACAAGTGCTAGGAAAGGGTAAAACCAGCTCTGCACAAAAGCAAGATGCAGCATAGGTACCTGCGATTTAGACATGAGAAGATAAACCAGAGTAACCTCCTGAGCTCGACTTTATACTCGTGTGCACCTCCTCCTGGTAGTTAACAACAGGCATCCTCAGTTTCATAGGTGGGATACAAGAAGAGAAAAGGACAAAAAGGGAGTTCGAGAAGGTCTGTGATTATACTATACTTTCACAGTGTCAGAAAGTTGACTGTATAGTTTATGTCAATACACAGCATCAGAGTGTACTGGAGCAGGTTGCCCAGAGAAGCTGTGGATGCCCCATCCCTGGAAGTGTTCAAGGCCAGGCTGGATGAGGCTTTGAGCAACCTGGTCTAGTGGAAGGTGTCCCTGCCCATGGCAGGGGGGTTGGAACTAGATGGTCTTTGAGGTCCCTTCCAACCCAAACCATTTTGTGATGTTATGATCAGGAGAACAAGCATAACTGGAAGGGAAAAAGTAAAGTTGCTTACACTCTTCTGTGGTCAAAACTGGAGAATAGACATTTATGCTATGGACCCGACTTATTGACTACAGATAAAGAACAAAATAAAACCTTTTTTGATTGAGAAGTTCATAGGATAAATTAAACTTGGATTTTGCCTGATCAAAGAACATGAATTATGTTTCTCCCTTCTGTTTCCCCAGTTTAGGAGAACAATTCTTACTTAGGCAACTGCTTATGCTTTATTTTTGGGAGCACGAGGACATAGACATATTTAAGTATTTAAGGGCTGTTCTCCTGATTTTCTGAGTCACAATTTATATATTTTCTTTTAATACGTGAAATAATAGATTAGAAGAGGGAAAACTGAACACAGCCTTTAGATTAAAAAAACCCTCTTAGCTTCTCTTTAATTTTGAGTCAGATGAATAATTGAATATGTATAATAAAAGATCAGGGCTCCTCATAAATATTAAAGAGCCAGCAGAATTGTTTAAAAATATGAATTCTAGTAAGACACATGAGAAAAATTCCATAGTTTCAACTTGATTTTTATTCTGCATGATTTCGCAAACCACTAAATACAGTCTGCAAAGGCTTGTCTCATGAATAACTATGCATATCAGTAATTTCATTGACCTCAATGCTGCAGGATCACTGTCATATTTTGAAATTGCAGAGACAGCATAAAACTTTAAAACAATCCAATTAAGAAGGCAGATGCTCCTTGCTGCCTGATTAGTGCATAGCCTGGTTTGGACATGGGTGTGCAAGGGAAGTATCCTGAATTCTTCTCTGAGCTTGTCTTCGTTGCTTTTTTGTCTTTATACAGAAATAAAACCTACATTAAAAAAAAAGGCATTCAGGACAACGAGGGCATAAAACTTTGACAATATTTATTCAGATAGAAAGATTTCGGCGAAGGCCATAGCTGGTAGCCATGAAAACTAAATTTTTCAAGTGAAATTGCTGGCAATAATAGGTTGCACCTAAATTATTGAACACATTATCTTCCTGCTGCTTGATGCAGATCAGCAATAATCTAAAGACAGAAGGGAGTGGAGAAGAGCAAAGAAAAGGGGAAGCAATGGAGGCAATAAGAAGCAATGACAGCAGCAAGTTGTCTTAAGGGAGATAGAAAGCTTACAAGAATCATAAAAGCAATGGGGGAAGGGATATCCTGCCTCTGGTTTTGCAGAGGCCACTAAGCCTAAATGCTCCTTAGAAGAGAGAGAAATCAAAAGCATACGGCTATTAGTTTTCTAGATAGAAATATTCAACACACATTGTCTTTTCTGAAGGAAAAAGGAGGGGTTGCATCGCATAACCGAAGTGTCAGAGCCCATCCTTTTGCTGGTAAGGTCAAGTCCCCGAACACGTGACCTGGAAATCCAGTACCAACAGCTCTGACAGAAGAGCAAGCTCATCCATCCCGAGAGGACAGCTGAGATGGGAGGTCCCTCTTTTACAATGAACAACAGAGGAACTTCTCACTTCTGAAATGGAGACTGTGCCCTCCCCCAAACACAGGACAGCTCGAATTTCTGGTTTCCTGCGCACTGTAACCAGCCCCATATACACCCAGCTGCAGTTGCTCCACCAGGCAACAAGCAGGGAACTTTTAGAAAAATTAAGTCAGTTCTCGCTCTTGTTCAAATTGGCTTGTTTTAAAAACAAAACAAAAACAAAAAACCCCAACCAAACAAAAAACAACAATTAAAAAATCCCCACCATAGTTTATAATACTTTAAATTCCAACCATTTGTTTCTATGGACTGCACTGAGACTCTTAGGGAACTCTTTTTATGCATGGCATAAAATAATCCTGCTGGTTATAAAAAAAATAAATATCAATAACCTTAAGGTATTTAGAGGGGAAAAAAGGGCAAATCAGTGCTCCATGTTATGCATATTTTCAGGTACCTATCATTCACAGAATATTAAACATTACTTAGCTCTCCAGAGTGAAACTTTGCAAATGAACACCACTCACGTGAAAGTGGCTCTTGCAAACAACAGCATATTGTGCTCTTGTTAAGCATCACGTCACCTTATTTATACCCAAATACCTATTGTGAAGGACCCGAAAAAGGACACAATCATCTTTTTCTAGGCCTGAGCATAAGGCTTACCTTCTGAGTGGGATCAAGATTGGCTCCTGCATGAAGGAGGTACCTCATGCTCAGCACCACACCGCTGCAAGTGGGTAGAGGGGGGCCAGGACACCACCACTCCAGCAGAGCACTGAAAACAGATACACTGATCCTCTGCAGTGCTCTTCCTGTACTTAACTGCTCCTGATTTATTTAGTATATGCTATTAAATCCCATTAGTTTTAACTGTTCTGTTGTGACAGGTATATTTTTGGAGTCCCCATCAAAATAACTAGAATATTTTCAGGCTTCAATCAATGATACTTAGGTTCATTAATAATATATTTCCCCGTTTCTTTTTAGTAAAAGCAAGGAAGATAAAAAACAGGCCTGAGAAGTATGCCAGATGTCACAAGTCTGCCCCTCAGAAAAATGTCTCAGATTATTTTTATTATTTACCTGAGCAAAATCTTTGTTCAAAACCACTACAAACCTCTTACAAGATGTTTAAAAGAAAAAATAATTTTAAAACATTCAACCAAAAAGTGCTTTGCTTGGCTTTAAAATAGAGGCTCTCTCAGCTCCTATTATTTTTCATTTCACTTCAGGAGGCTGCTGCATTTCTGTTCAGCACAAAACTCTTTGCACAAGCAGAAGCAGGCTTCTTCATCCCTGCAGGCAAACCACACTCCTCTAGGAAAAGACGACTCCCAACCTATTCTCTGTAAGAGCTTTGGCTGCCTCTTACTCTTTTAATGTAAAATGTCTCCCCCTAAACAAATGAGTTGGTTGCTAGAAATTCAATATAACAGAAGCAAACAAGAACTGACAGCACCTAATATTAATAGGGACAGGCATATTGTGTCCTTCTTAGAAAGGAAGCACAGTTTCCTTTTATGGTTTCATAGAGCTGAGCATCACACACCGAGAGCACAATCGCCCAGCAAGCTTTACGCATCAATTATGTTACAGCTCCATTACCTCCTCTGCAGCACAGCTTCACGGGGAGATCACATAAAAGCACTAACATACAATTTCCACCTTTTTAGAACTTAAATAAGATGCGGCTATGTCAAAATCCATCTTCTGAAAAAGGTACCTTGAAATGAAAAGCTGCAATATCTCCTGTTAGCAAGCACTTGTGGCAAAGCAACCCTGTTCCGCACACAAGGCACCAGGCACCTGTGGGATGCTCCTATGACTCTCCTCAAGGACAAACTGTAAAAATTCACAGAGGGTTGGGCTAAGGTACTGCCTGCCTGGGACTACGTGGTACTGGCAGCCTCCAGAATCATGGAGTTAATCCTCTTGCTTCTGTCTGTAGTGCCTTGTTTCCAGCTTTCATGCTTTTACCCTACACTGTGGTCATGTTTTCAAGCTTTTCTTTGGAATTAGGAAGGGAAAAAAGGAAAGTGAGTTGAGATAAATCTTTTCATTTCAAAACTGCATCCTTGGTTGGCCTGGCCTTGAATGGGAGGTGTGTGTGGATCCTAATTGCCCAGTGGTTCAAGGTCAACAGTAAAACAGTGCAAACTGCTAACACTCCACTCATTACCCTTTCTGGAGCTGTGATTTCAGAAGCTGAAGTTTCTACTACTGAAGTGATGTGTCTGGGTAATATCACTGTAAAAATCACAACTGATTCCTCTGGGAATTGCCTCAGACCAGTGAATGGCTAAAAGACTATAAAGCCTTACATTTCTCTATTTCACTGT